TTAAGAATCTCGATAAGTTCGAAATCATTAGGGGCGTTATATATGGGTTGATATATTAGCAACGGTTTATTAAATAAACCTTAATCTATTTATCGGTAATGCCAGAAACTAGGTTTAGTATACAAGTTATAATATTATCATGGAAGAAAAAGAAAAAAAATGTGAGTCATATTGAAAGTTTTTTACGTTAAATCTCACTCTAAATTTATGAAAATTCAGAAAATATAAAGTAATGTAACAAAATTATACATTATAAACTGTCTATAAGAATATCGATTTCTCACGTTTTCAGCATACCAACTTGAAAACTTGAATGAACTGTTCAAAAAATGTATGCACCCCTCTCTCCTTACAGTTTTAATGTAGAAACTGAATTATTTTTGCCTGCAATAAAACTCAGTAATTATGTTTATCACACCTTTATAACTAAGTTTAACGGCAATCTTTGTTTTAATTGTTTAGCTTCGAAAAGATTCTGCCTTAATTAGAGAATTTGTACACTTTTTCGTTTTTCACTTGTTGGTGCATGCGCATTAGTGCACCGTCTCTTTTAGTACAACTCATCGAAATCTTATATAGGGTCACTTACTGGTCACTTCCTAATTGATATCATACTTACTGGTCACTTCCTAATTGATATCATACTTACTGGTCACTTCCTAATTGATATCATACTTACTGGTCACTTGGTATCATACTTACTGGTCACTTTCTAATTGGTATCATACTTACTGGTCACTTTCTAATTGATATCATATTTACTGGTCACTTCCTAATAGATATCGTACTTACTGGTCACTTCTTAATTGATTTGACGTTTTGGTTGATAAATTAAACTTTTACTGTTAGCTCTTTCTGTTCAATCAAGTTAATCGAATATTTTTCAAATATTGACCCTTGTCCTAAGTCCGGGGTAACCTCGTCTAGACTTATAAAAAAGTCAAACGTAAAGCATGGGCCTTATTTCATTTAACGGAATGATCTATTATGCATTACGTCACACTTATTCAGTTAGACGTCGATAGTGGGGTCATTTAAAGTCAATTTTTGTACGGGCGGGGACAAGAGTAGATGTAATAAAACACGAAAACAAATCGGTTTTGGTAAGGCAGGGCTGCTACAACCACCCAATACGCGTTCAAATGATATAGTGCAGTTATACAGCAAATCCTTACGGCAAATGCTATACCGCCAGCACTGGGATCATTTTAACAGTGAACAGAACGTCCATAAAGTTTTCATTAAAAAGTTCACGCGGTTTTCAAGGAAGACAAAATTTTTGTTTTCTGCGAATTGGTATAATTATTTACGTGTATACGTGGGAGGCACCCATGCTGCTGTTAACGAAGGCACCCATGCTTCTGTTAACGAGTTATACTTAATAATATCCACATTAATTACTGGGGGCTATAACTAGCTATGAAGATACCGAGGTCATATCCTCGTAGGTTTACTGATATGAATTTAAGGGTGGTAACGGTGATGGATGTGTGAAGCTAGACTGAGACAGGACATACACACACACACAAGTTTGACCTCGGTAAAATACTGGCTCCGGTTATAGTGAAGCTCATATAGACCAAGAATAATCAAAATTCAACATATGTGTATTGGACCTCCTGAGATTTGCTTTGCATAGACTGTAAAAGTGCTAATAAACGGGAGCTTGTGCCGCGAGTAGCTTAGGTTAAAGGAAAATTATTGTTTACAGCCTTACTTAGCTTATGTCGGTAAATATACTTTGTCATACATAATTGTATTCAGTAAATACACATGGTTATATATAGCTTATGTCAGAGAAATTACCTGACTATATATAACATATGCTGAATTAATTCACATGGCCACGTGTATCCTATATTAGTAAATACATATGCCCTTGTATAAACTGTAGCAGTGAAAATAGCCGTCTGTAACTTGTATCAACAAATACGTGTGTTTGTGTATCTCCTGTCGGTAAATACAATTGGTTATGCGTAGCATTTGTCACTGAATGTACGTTGTTACATGTATAGATTATACATTAAACTGACAACTTGTGTCAGTGAATACGTGTTGCCATGTGTAGCTTGTGACAGTGAATATACGTAGCCATGCATAATTTATGAAGATGAATATAGGTTGCATGTATAGTTTGTGACTTATAAGAGATTGTGAGTTTGTGTTGTAAAGAGCGTGTTCTCGCATGAAAAATGTCCAGGTGGTTAGGGCGTTTAACTCGCAATATGTGGGTCGTGGGTTCGAATCCCCGTAACACCAAATATGCTCGCCCTTTGAGCCGTGGGGGCGTTATAATGTGACGCTCAATCCCACTATTCGTTGATAAAAGAGTGGGTGGTGATGACTAGCTGTGTTCCCTCTAGTCTTACACTGCTAAATTAGGGACGGCTAGTGCAGATAGCCCTCGTGTAGCTTTTCGCGAAATTCAAAAACAAACGAAACTTTGAACCAACTTTGAACCAACTCTCGTTGAAAAGCTTGCTTGTGCATTAAGATCACCTAACCATTAAAAAAGTAAATATTAAGCCCAAACTATGCTTCGATTCACCATTTATCACTGAGTTATACCAGTTTCAGGGAATTCCTCCCGTTCACATTACTAAAGCAAAACAAAATAACGAAACTAGGTTTCATATAAAACAAAACTCAAGTGAGGCTGGGTATAGTCCGGTACTGACATGCTCTGACTGTGAATCAGACGATTATTGTTTGCGTTCCGTTGTCGCATCTTCTCGCACTTTCAGGCAGGAGATGCTCTAAATTAGTGACTGTCAAATCCCACTATTCAGTCAGACAAGGGTAGTCCAAGTGTTGGCGATGAGTGCTGCTGAGTAGCTGCTTTCCTTCTAGTCTACAAGTCTGAAACCAGGAACGATTGTGCCCAGATAAGCCTTTGCACAGCTTTGCGCAAAAAATTCCAGAAAAAATCAAACAAAACCCTTTTTCTCATGGTTGATATTATCTCCTCTATTGTGTACACTAATACCAATTATCTCGTGACTGATGATACCTGCTTATCATGGTTGATATTATCTCTTCTCTTGTGTACACTAATACCAATTGTCTCGTGACTGATGATACCTACTATCATGGTTGATATTATCTCTTCTCTTATGTACACTAATACCAATTGTCTCGTGACTGATGATACCTGCTTATCATGGTTGATATTATCTCTTCTCTTGTGTACACTAATACCAATTGTCTCGTGACTGATGATACCTACTATCATGGTTGATATTATCTCTTCTATTGTTTACAATAATACCAACTTTCTCGTGACTGGTAGTACCTACCACATGAACTGACAATGCTTTTCACCAGATAAGCTAATGATGTTTTTCACCAGATAAACTGTTAATGTCTTTCACCAGATAAACTGTTAATGTCCTTCACCAGATAAACTGACAATGTCTTTCACCAGATAGACTGTTAATGCCTCTCACCACATGAGCTGATAATCTCTTTCACCACATGAATTGAAAATGCCTTCTGTTTCATTTGCTCATTAGTAATGCCTTATTTCTCAGGATTCATTTTATTACTTTGTTCTTGGCTTCTTTAAAAATGCACACAAACGTGTACCAACGTTGTAATATCTCAGTTTCAAATAACTATTTCAACCAATAGACTATGAAACATCGGTTCTTTATTCAGTTCTTTATTCTTTAGTGTTAACAATGCTAACATGATTAGGGGAGAGTGGAGTAATCATGAACTCGTTTTGTTTTTGCTTGTAACTCAAAAATCATAGACGACGTTAGCTTCATATAACACTTGGACTTTATAGGTGATAGAACCTCTGTTTGATATATTTTACAATATGTGGAAAATATTCCAGTAGCAAATTACGCCCCAAGTGGGTAGTGTTCGTAATTCCACCACTGTCCGGAGCAATTCCGTACACAAAATATGATAAGTTCGGGATTCCCCCACTGTCCGGGGCAATTCTGTATACAAAATATGATAGGTTCGGAATTCACCCACTGTCCGGAGCAATTCCGTACACAAAATATGATGGGTTCGGGATTCCCCCACTGTCCGGGGCAATTCTGTATACAAAATATGATAGGTTCGGAATTCCCCCACTGTCCGGAGCAATTCCGTACACAAAATATGATAGGTTCGGAATTCACCCACTGTCCGGAGCAATTCCGTACACAGAATATGATAGGTTCGGAATTCACCCACTGTCCGGGGAAATTATGTACACAAAATATGATGGGTTCGGGATTGCCCCATGATGTAGGAGAATGCCAGCCATTCAGGGATTGTTGCCCCATCTACCAGTTTTGTCCCTACATAATCTACTTTAGGTGTAATACTTATGATAGAAAGCTTCATTTTGAATAGAAAGAATAACAAGGTAGAAATAAAAGACAAATTGACTTAAATTTTGTGGATTTTAACTTCTGAAACCAAATACTATTTTCCAACACTAAAACTCTACTGTAAGCCTTTTGTTCAGCAGAGTGATTAACGAACACTTTAATAGGTTCCGTCATTCCCTTCGTTTAATTAGCTTGGAATATAAAAGTCAGCTTATGACTTGTGGAAATAAAATAAAATAAAGAAATTAAGAAGATTTTTATTGAATTTTTTGTGTGGTTTTTTTGGACTGTCTAAATGCCTGTCTCATCCCAATTGTAGCTTATAGTTGGCGGTGTTTTATGTTCTTCAAGAACTTTACCCACGTTTTTGAAAAATCTGTCGATTTCTTATCTCCTAAACCCGGTTGTTCGTGACAAGCTTGTTGGTTCAGGTCGTTGTAGAGAAAACCATACAACCAATTTTTTTCCCGCGTTTCTTAATGCCCTGTCAAATGGATGTTGTATCTTATTACGATCTGCTAATTCAAATGCTAATGACCTCAAAGTATCATGTCTAATGCTAAAAACACATGTCACTCATTGTAACAATGCAGTAACAGAGCTGTTTTTCCAATGACAGAATTATATATCTACCCACCCGAACAGGTTGTGTTGACTTCAAATAAATGGTTATTTTGGGAATCGTGAAGCGTTGCGATGCTTCCTCACGCTGTCTACGGCCATTTTGAAATTTGCAGGATCATAATTCAGTCGAGAAGTTTTCTTTGTGTAGTTTCGCACCATTCTGTAAAGAAAAATCATTTAATGATAAAATAGTGTACAAACTCCATGTTTATATAAAGACCTGGTGAACCCTTGCTACAAGATATCGACTTTCAGTTCACATCATTATGGTGAACTAATGTCACTTTATCCTTGGTGCTTGGTTAAATTTAAGTAACTATATGTTGTTTAAGTTACTTTAAGCCAAAACACAACGAAACGTTATAGAAAATGTTAATCACATTATTTTATGTATTCATTCTCATCGAAGTTCCGTGTAATTACCATGTGGGGTATTACCGTTCGCCATTACCCCTCATTGATACAAATGGTTTTTTCCCAACTGTTGTTTCAAGTGATACGTATACTATATAGTCTCGGTTGCACAATTATGCTTTCCTAATCACACGGCGACTTGACCCAATAATGACACTAAAATATACAATGAAGGAGTGATGTGTAAGAATTTTATGAACGCGTTTTACCTTGTTTGATGTTCTTCCGGCGGAAAACTGGCAACGAATCTGGATTTAAGTGCAAAGTTAAGTTGTTGTAAGTAGTAGAAGCGGAATATAGAAATTAAACAGCGACACCTATTTCATATTTACTAGATATAGGCTTGTGTTTGTTTGTAATCAAACACAAAGCTACACAATGGGCTATCTGTGCTCTGCCCACCACGGTTATCGAAACCCGGATACTAGCATTGTAAGTCCGCAGAACATACCACTGTGCCACTGGGGGGCTACTAGAAATAGC